GCACTGTGCATGCGCACACTTCCCAGCTGATTTTCGGCCCGTTTTGAGGCCTTTTTCGCCCTCCCGGAGGCTCGAGGGAAGCCTCTGCAGCCTCGGGAGGCCGAAAAACAGGCCCGTTTCGGCACTTCCGGTATTTCCGGAAGGCCTGTTTTTCGGCCTCCCGAGGCTGCAGAGGCTTCCCCCGAGCCTCCGGGAGGGCGAAAACGGCCTCAAATGGGCCAAAAATCAGCTGGGAGGCGCACTCATGCGCAGGGCAGCTAAGTTTGGCTGGGCCTCGTGTGCCCGCACAAATGGCTCGTGCCATAGGTTCGCCCTCACGCTACTCATTGCTTGGTGGAACACCCTTGCCCCACAGAACATTTCCACCAACAAGGGCAAGCCACTTGTGTGTAAACACAGAGACACAAACCCACCTTCTAGCACTGCCGATGTTACCTAGCTGGGTCATGAAACGTCCTTCCTCACTCTTTTCTGTGTAAACCCTTCTGCTGATAACGTTGCCTAGTTGGGTTGTGAAATTATCTTGCCACCAAAGAAGCCAGCTCGGAGAGCCCCCAAGGACCCCCACCCCCCTCCATAGTCCTCCTCCTCCTCTCTGCAAACCATGATCCAAACTAAAATCAGGTTACCCAGCTGGGCAATGAATGAACCTGTCTGTCAGAAAACAACCCAAGCTCAGAAAGCATCAGGGTTGGACTAGATGACCTACAAGGTCCCTTCCAACTGTTAATCTGTTACACCCACAATCTGGGGGTGGGGGGTGAATCCTGGCTACAGCTGCCTCAAGCCAGCAGGGGTTTATTTCTCAACCCATTCTCCCCTATCTACTTCGGCGTCTTAATCCCTTCCAGTCATTTTAAAGCTGAAAATGGCAATAGGTGCATTCATTTTTTATTTGTGATTCTGCTCGCACTGCAGGTGCAATCACATTTATTCTAAATAATGCAAACATTCCACACACGCACACAACCATCGTTTAGGGTCACTTATGGGCCCCAAAATGACCCCAAGCCATCCCCAGTGAGACAGCTGCCACTTGGTGCACCTCATGTCCTCAGTCCTGCAAAGCTAGAGAGTAGTTTTCATGACAAAAATGCCAACTCTGGTCTACAGGCAGTCCTCGACTTAAAAACAGTTCATTTAGTGACCATTTGAAGTTATTTATAATCATCACCATCATCAACGACCCCCATAATCCCTCGCGGGGTGGAGTTTGGGCAACTGAACAGCGCTGAGTGTTTAACTGGCCGGATGCCCTTCCCTGTTGCCAGGGTGGAGTTTTTTTTCCAGCAGGTATATATTCTCAGTGTGCCCAGAGAAATATTTGCCTCTACCTTGGATCGAACTCGCCTCTAGGCCACCGCACTACACACCATTTGAAGTTATAATGCTAGTGAAATAGGGGAGTTATGACCATTTTTCATGCTTAACGACCGCTGTAGCATCCCCAGGGCCATGGGATCAAAATCTGGACGCATGGCAACTGGCTCACATTTATGACGGCCGCAGTGTCCTGGGGCCATGAGCTCGACCTCCTCTTTTGTGACCTGACAAGCAGAGTGAACGGGGAAGTGGGATTCGCTTAAGGACCCTAGGGATTCACTTAACGGTGGCACGGGAAGGTCACAAAAATGGGATACAATTCACTTAAGCAATTGTTTTGCTTGGCAAAAGGAATTTTGAGGCTCCATTGCGGTCGTTAAGTGGAAACTCTGTTATCTTCTCACCAAAGTCCTGGAGTGCAATTAAGTGGCAAATGAGAGCCTTTATCCTTAACCATAGGATGGGGACATTCTGCACCGCCAGCGGCTGCAGGAAGAGATGGCGGCGAACTCCGACAAGCCAGTCAGCTCGACGCAAACCGAAGAAGAGTCTGTCAAAGATGTTTGCGTGTAGGACAGGGGTATCGAACTCAAGGCCCATGGGCCGGATCCGATCCGGGGGGTGCTTAGATTTGGCATGCAGGGCCAACCTGGGATCTGCCAAGGACTGGCCCACGGTGCCTCTGCCAGCAGAAAAAACAAAGCTCCGTTTTGCAGAAGGCGATCGCTGAGAGGTGGTGAATTCAGCCAGTTTGGACCGGTTCTGAAGAACCGGTAGTGGAGATTTTGAGCGGTTGGGAGAATCGGCCAATCCCATCTCTGACTGGGCCCCGCCAACCCCGTCTCTTCTCTGCCTCCCATTGAGTCCCAGCTGATCGGCTGGGTCTCCTTTGGTTGCCCTGCACAGGAGAACGGAGCTGGAAAGCAGGTCAGTGGGGTGGGAAGCGGGATTTTGCAGTATATCCTTCCCCTGCCACGCCCACCAAGCCACACCCACAGAACCGGTAGTAACAAACTTTTGAATCCCACCACTGCGGTGCCCTCCAAGATGGGTCGTTTTCTTGTAGGCTAACAGGGTGGGGAGGGGGGGGGATTTTGCAGTACCCTTCCCCTGCCACGCCCACCAAGCCACACTCACAGAACTGGTAGTAATTTTTTTTTTTGGAATCCTCCAACTGCTGTCGCTGCCGCCGAAAAATGGCGCTCAGGAGCCCGTCTTCACTGCCAGAGTGCTCAGACCATCACAGGCGCCCCCCAGACTCAAACGTTGAGCTGGTCATTGCCCCTCCGAGGTCAAAACATAACCTTGATTCGGACCGCAGTGAAATCGAGTTTGACACCCCTGGTGTAGGGCGAAGAAAACAAAAAGCGCACCCACAATCGGAGGACATGAAATGGCGCGTTTTGTTTTTTTCCTGTTCAAGTGGGTGGGTTGCAGGGGTGGTATTTCTACGGTTCGGCCAAATGGGTAGCTCCAAGGATCATCTGCGAGCGAACCGGTTTGCTCCAACGATCGGCTGCTGGGCCGGGCCCTCCTCCCTCCCGGGTTCCTATTCCGATCTTTTCATGTCCTGGTTTTCAAACTCAGATGCTTTGTGGGGCGCAGCAGCTGTTTTTAACACGCAGGGAGAGCCCAGGATTGCAGGTTAGTAGCAAAACCCTCCAGGCTTGCGCATTCACCGAACCGCGGCGGTGCTCTTCTACCGGTTCCAGCATACAGATCAGCGGAGACCAAACCAATTCTGAGGAGCTGCTGTTGGGCCCCCCCACCTGTCCGCCGGGTCTCGCATTCCTTGCTTTTGAAGCGCAGCATGGCGGAGTGCAGCGCAGCAGCTGCTGAAGTGAGAGGGAGAGGAGGGCAGGATTGCAGGTGAGTCGGAAAAGCCTCTGCACATGCGCAAAGCGCGCATTTGGTGCATGCGCAAAGTGCGGCCAAACCACGCCCACCGAACCGGTGGTAAAACTACTTTGAAACTCACCACTGCCAAACCGGTTGTTGGTTGTGGTCAGACAGCAGCAGGTGCAGACGGCTGAGAGCGAGGACTCGGATGAGGGGTCGGGACCATCAGGGAGTGGATTGCTGCCTTCAGGGATTGTGGGGGCTGGCAGCAGCGATGAGGAGGTTCCCGAGGAGCCTGTGCCAAGTGTGCGTGAGCACAGGAAGATTCGTAGAAGAGAACAGCTGGAGCAGCACAGGCGACTCGGGAGTCAGGATGCAACGTAATATAATATAACCAGGGAATATAAGCCTGGTTTCAAAAGGTTTTTGCCTTTGCAGAAAGCAAAAACGTTCTAAGGACTCAGCATTGTGTGTGTAGAGAGAGTCTGGTTTATCTGAAGAATTCTGTCAAGGCTTTTCTGGTTGGACTAACTGGCTACAAGCCATCTTTTATCTGCAAGGAAGTTTATTTGTAGATTAAAGCTGTGAAGGTTTGAGTTGCTGCTTTTGAGATTTTCTTGCTGGTAACAGGGTGGAGTCAGAACATTGTTACACCGGCTGAATCACACCCGTTGGTGGGCTTGTAAGGGTGTCTCTCTCCACTGTTTGGTTGCATTGTTTGTCCCCCTCTTTTGTCCACAACACACACACACACACACAGAGAGATGCCGCTGGCAAAGGAGCCTTGCAAGGTTTGAGCTGTTCCAAATGTTTTTTATTTTATTTTATTTTTATTTTCAATTTTCTCCATACCACAAGGGACATATAACATCGGGGTGGACCGAGACCTGCCCCTCCCCCATCAGCCCAGGCTCCATCTGTACACAGCCATGACTTTCTCGGGAGGATGGAGGTGGGGGGAGGGGAGTGGGGGGGGTCAGTAGAGGGGGCAGCCTTGTGGAAGCCCCTTCTTTGGTAAGCGGGTTCAGACCATCTGCGGATTCGCCTTTTGGGCTCCCACCCTTAACTCGCCCTTCCCTGCTCAGGGTTCTCTCTCATTTGGGGAGGGAACCCACCTGCCCGGACACCCCACCACTGGGAGGGGGGCCCCCCCTAAAACCCAGATTTTGAGGCTGCTCCTGTCACTCTTGAGCAGGAAGTCTTCGGTGAAAGCCAAGAAGAGGGAGTGGTCCAGAGCGGAAGAGGTAGGTAGGTAGGTGAAAGGAGGGAAATGACGGGGGGCCTTTGGCGGAGACCGTCGGGCCCTTCCCCACGGGGGGGGGAAGAGTGGGGCCCTGCCTCTGGGAGGGGGGGGCGTGTTTCAACAGGAAGGGCTGGCCCAGGCCGGCCGTTGGGCTCCCCGCTTCACTTCTGCTCGGCCAGGCAGGACACAGCAACGGCCACCGCTGTCCGGTGGAGCGCGATTCGTCACCGACACTACTCTACAATGCAATACTGTGGATAAGCCTGGGATGAGGAGGGAGGAGAAAAAGAACACCCCCCCCCCCCCAAAAAAAAAAACCCCAAAAAGGATTTTTTTAAAAAAAAAAGAAGAAGAAGAGCTTTTTATGTACAGAACATCCATTTTACAAAAGTCTGGCCGAGTACTGAGTACAACGGACGATGATGAAGAAGACGACATGATGCATAGAAGGTACAGAGAGGAGCCAAACATTTCCACTGTTTTTTTTCTTTTTATACACCCAAGAACAAAAAAATTGGAAAAGAAATTATATTATAGATTTATATTTATATACGTATGGGTTTTTTTTTTAAAAAAATGAAACAAACAAACAAAAAAAAAGATGGCACTGCTTCAAAAGTGAACAGTCTTCCCAGACACAGGGAGGGGGAGACGCGTTTCGGCCTCCTCTTCTCCGAAACCCACCGCCTTGCGTCTCCGGTTCGACCCGAGCCCAGCGCTTGGGGGGAGGGAGGGAGGGAGGGAGGTGGCAGGGAGACAAAATGGAAGACAGATTCAGCTCGGGCCTCTTTCCCTTGGCCTTTGAATAGGAGGGGGGGAGGGAGAGGTCAGCTCTTCCCTCGTACCCACGTCACCGGGATGGGGCTCACGGCACAAGAACGGTCCGAGCGCCAACGGGCCGGATCTCCAAACCAGAGTTCCTCGACAGGAGGTCTCCAATCCACCCTCTGAAACCAGCCTGTCTCCATGACTGACTTGCCACCCCCAGCAGGGAAACCCAAGACATAACAGCGTCCATATTGGCTTCGTTAGGACCAGAATCTTTTGCATATACGGTCGTTCCTGGTCGGCGTCCTCCTCCTCTACCTCCTCTGAACCTGTCAATATACAGCTTTTCCTTCCCGGGGCCGTGAGTGTCATCTGACCACAAGGCACAGCACGCAAAGCTTGGAGGGCCCGATACAGTCGTCGTGGCAAAAGGCCCCGCAGCCCTGGCACATGATCATGGCTTTGAGGCTGCAGGAGCACTTGAGGGAGAGCTCTTCCATGCCTTTGCCCGTCTCGGCGAACACCTGGGCGGAGAAAGACAGCCTGCCCCGGGAAGACGCCGTCAAGTTGGCTTTGGGGCCGAAGGGGCCGGTGCTGCCTTCCAGGTTGCTGGGGAAAAAGGGTCTGCCTGCTGAAGAGGCGTAATTCAGGTGGGAGGAATTCAGCTGCAGCTTGGAGAGCTTCCCGTAAATCGCCTGCTTGATGTTGAGCTGGGAAGGGAGGGAGGAAGGCTCCAGGGGCTGCGTGGCCCCCTTCCCCGGCTCCTTCGGCAGCTTGAAAAAAGCCAGGTCCCTCACCAGGGGGAGGCTCTGCCAAGGCTCCATCAACTGGGGAGGGGCCTCTTTCTGCTGCTCCCTCTTTCTCTGGACGGAGGCCAGGACCTTCTTGTTCTCTGCTGACCCAGCGTTCCTCTTGGATGGCCAGTCCTCCCTCGCAGGAGGCAAGCAGGCTCCCAGGGCAACAGCCTTGGGCGGGGGAGAGACCACTTTGCTGTGGGACAGCATGGCCCACATGGGGAAGGGCTCCGAGCCTTGGGGCTTCTGGGCCTTGGCTGAAGCCCCGCCAGAGACGCCCGAGCCGAAGACCTTCCTGCCCAGAGCCGCGGGGGGTTTCTCTGCGGGGCCGTTGCTCGGCTGCTCCGGCCCCAGAGAAGTCGTGCGCAGAGGCAGCTTGGGCCCCGGGGCCATCTTGAGCTTCTCGTCCAGCTTCCCGATGCTGGCAGTAGAAATTGCCCGGGAAGGATCCAATTTATCTGGATGCGAACAGGGAGAGATCGGATTCTTTCCCAGATTTGAGAGATCTGTTTTCAGGGATTGATTGACGGCTTGATCCAGGGATCCTAAATTGGGACTCTTCTCCAGAGGCAGGCAGGCCCTTTCGGCAGAGTCCCACAAAGGTTGGGGTGCACGCGTGGCCTTCCTGGCCGGGTCACTCAGGCCTGTCCCCTCCCTGTAAGAGACATCCTGCACGAGGTGGTCACCACCCTTAACCGCTTCGGGGAAAGGGCGAATCTCTGCCGGACGTTTGTCCCGAGAAGAGGCTGCGGCCGCCTCAGAAGAGGCCGGCAAAATGCTTTTGGGAGGCAGGCCCTGGGTGATTACTCGTCCCTCGTGGGGCTCGCTTGCTTCAGTGGACACAGGCTGGGGGACGCCCGAGCAGGACCTTTCCTGGACTGCGACATCAACAGGGAGAACTGACTTGCCCGCGGCGAGGATAGGCGCCAGCAACCTTGTCCTGCAGTGTAAGTCGACAACCCTGACATCCGAAGGCAAACCTTCCCTGCTTTCTGAGATGACCTCTCTGCGTCCCTCCGAGCGCCTCTGGTCCGACCCATCTTCCCTCTCTTCAGCCTGGCGACAATCCCCGTTGATCTCCAAGTTCTCATCGGTGAGCTCAGCGTCCAAATCGGAGGCCGTCTCTGTGGTCTCACTCAGTGGACTCTGGGCTTCCTCGTCATTGCCGGGGCTGGCGCTCGGCCCTGCCGTTGCCCGCTCTCGGTCGGTCTCTACCTCCATGCCTGAGGATGCCGCTGCTGGGCTCTCGTGGATGGTCATATCGCGGCAAGGAGGGAGCAGGCCTGTTGTCGACTGGGAAGCTTCCTCTGGGCTACTTAGGGCCCCTCTTCCGGGCCCTGGTGTGGCCCTCTGAGTTTGGTATGGTGGAAGGTCCATCCCAATAAGACTGGGGTCCTCTGGAAGGCCCTCCCAAGCAGGAGAAGACAATCCCTGTGAGCCAACTCCTGTGTTGCTCTCAGAAGACAAGTCACAGCCCTCCTTCCCGCTTGTGGCTCCGAAGAGGCTGCTTTTGGAGTCTCCTCCTAGCCAGCCATTGCTCGGCTGGCTCCCCACAGGAGATTCCCTTCTCTCCTTCTGATTACGGCCCTCCAGAGGAGCATCGGGAGAAGGTGGAGGCCTGGGATCATCCAAAAGGTGACCAGGGCAACCGACCGGCCCTTCCGCCGCTCTGCGATCTGGGACGCTGCTGCCTTCCGACGACTCCTTCAGCTGGGCAGCAGCTTCCTGGGAAGGAAGACTCGCGGCCTGTCCACCCTGCTCGAGCTCCGCTTTGCCGGCAGGCTCTCTGGCCTGAGAAGGCAAGCTCGCTTCAGGCTCCTGCCAGCCGGCACTCTTCCCAGCTAGGTGGGAAGGCGGCAATAGCTGTGCTCGCTGTAAATCTGACCAGCGCTTCCCACGAGTTCTCTTGCGACGCCAGTGCTTGGCGCGGTGGCCCCTGGATTGCCGGACCCGGCTGTTGTTGATGTTGCCGCTGCTGCTGCCGCCGCGACCACCACCACCGCCTTCGTCTGGGCTCCTTCCGCCGCCTCCTCCCGGCCCACCCCCACCTCCAATGGTGGAGGCAGGAGTAGAAGCCGCTCGCTGGACTCGGTCTTGCAAAGGACAGGCCTCAGAGTCAGCAGAGGTTGGGCTCCCCCTTCGGTCCGGCCTGATGGGTTCTGGATTGGGGATAATCCGAGGACATATCTGGTAGGCTGGCTGACCTTTAACCACCCAGGGGGGTTTGATTCGGGAAAGTTGAATCTGGAGAGAACCAAGAAGAACAAGGTCATTAAGAGGACGTCCTTGAGGCCTCCATGCTAATTTATACCATACACACATCACACACACACAATTATATCACACACACACACACACCGCGTTTCCCCGAAAATAAGACCCGTCTTCTTTTTTTTTTTTGCCACCAAAAAAAGGCATCAGGTCTTATTTTCGGGGATGTCATCCACTAACCTCTTTTGCGTGCATAGCCCCCGGCCTCCTTTTCACTGTCAGAGGCCTTCAGTTTTTCCTGCGGCCGGCAAGGCTTTCCTGAAGGCCTCTGCAGGCGATAACAGAACTCTGGATCGATCCAGAGCTTTATCATCAGTTCCAGAGGCCTTCAGGAAAGTCTTGCCAGTCTTGCCGGCTGCAGAAATGGGCCAGCAAGGCAGGTTGTCAGGGTGTGCGACGCCTGGCTACAACTACCCAAAGGTAAATCATCGGGCAGCTCCATCCCCCTCCCTGGCTTAATTTTTACCTGTTCCCTCTGGCATGGGCAGGATCTTAATTTGGGCTTATTTGGGGGGTAGGGCTTATATTGAGCGCACATGTAAAAACCAAGCTAGGACTTACTTTCAGCGTAGGTCGTATTTTTAGGAAAACGGGGCAATTAGATAGATATAGATAGGATAGATATGATATATAACCTGAAAGGGTTTTTATTTGAACTATTACCATCTGGCAGACGATACAGGATAATAAAAAACAAGGACAAATAGGCTGAGAAACAGCTTCTATCCCAGGGCAGGAGCTCTACTGAATTCTACTGTGTAGTGCAATATTAATGCAATATCAGGGGGTTTTCAATTCAATTGTATAGAATGCGAAGGATGTGTGTTTTTGTTCTATTTTTATAGTTATAATAATGTTCACTGAAGGTGTTTAATTTTGTTGTACAAGGTCCAATGACAATAAACTAAACTCAACTAAAATCATTTGTAAATATTTAATTTTTAGAAGCAACCCTCCCTCCCTAGGACTGTTGGGAAGCAGAAACATAATGACCGAGGCTCCCTCCTCAAGGAACACTGGGAAATGTAGGCTGGGAAAGGCCTCCCTTTGCAGAACTACAACTCCCAGAGTCCCCTGGGGGGGGGAAAGGCTCGGAGACAGGGATCTTCCTTCCTAGGTTTAGCGCTGAAGGGCAAAGCCAGACCGACAGTACCCTCCCGCTACGTTATGCTTCGTGCAACAGTATTGGGGGGGGGGGGTCCATTCCCAGGAGGAGGAAAAAAGATGGAGAATTAATCCAGTTCATTTATTTAATTGGCATCCCGCCTTTATTATTTTTATAAATAAGTCAAAGTGGGGGAACATACCTGAGGTGCCTTCCTGCTAGTTTCCCTACAAGAACGCTGAGAGATGGGTTGGACTGAGAGACAATGATTGACTCAAAGTCACCCAGCTGGCTCTTCTGCCTAAGGCAAGGCTAGAATTCCCAGTCTCCTAGCGATTGGCTCAAAGTCATGTGAGCCGGCTTTCAGGGCTAAGACTGGACTAGAACTCGCCGTCTCTTGGAGATTGGTCCACCCACCTGGCATTCATGCCTAAGGCGGGACTAGAATTTGCCATCTCTCCTGGTAATTGGTTCAAAGTCACCCAGCTGAGACAGAACTAGAACTCACCGTCTTGTGGGGATTGGCCCAAAGTCACCCAGCCGCCTTTTGCACCTAAGGCAGGACTAGAACTCACCAGCCTCCCGGTTCCTAGAAAGCGCTGCTTTCACCACTAGATCAAACTCCCCCCTGGCACTCCTGTTAAGACCCCACCCCCCTTCCTTGACTCCACCTGAGATCGTTCACGCAAGAGGAGCCAGGCGCCCCCAAGGGTGCCCACCCGCCCTTCCTCCTGACCCAGGGGGAAACCCACAGTGGGGCCCGAGGCTGAAGGCATCCTTGGGGAGCGGCCGCCAAGTCAGCCCACTGCTGCTTGAGCCCGAGGCCTCAGGCGAAGAAGGAGGCAGGGAAGCCGAGAAACGCCTCCCACCCGCCCGTCCACCCACCCAGCCGGAAAGCAGCTCCCCGGACCCCCTCCTACCCGGATGGGAGGGACTTTAGGCTCCTCTTTGGTGGGCTGTGGCTTTTCTGGGTGAACACTTTCAATTGTGTTACGAAAGGACTGACGATCCTCAAGCCGGGGCTTCTTTTCGGGGAAAGAGGGAGAGGCCGGCTGCTCGAAGCACTTCCTCTTCGGCTGCTCCTGCGGCCCCAGAGGCAGGCTGGGAATTCGGTCCGGGGTTGCCGCCGCCGCCGCCGCTGCCGCCACGGCCTCATCCACCTTGCTCAAGACCTTCGTCACCTCCAGGGACATCTCGGCTGAGGGAGATGCCCGGCTGGCTTGGCACTCCGTGGCAGGATTGGCCTCTCTCTCCCCGACAGGTGTGGCCTCCGCAGATGAGGAGGAGGATGCCTCTTTGGCAAGGGAGGAAGGCTCCGCTTCGTGCAACTTATGCCGGTTCCGGCGGTTCCGGCAGCGGAGGGAGCGCCTCTTGAAGTGGCCGTCCGGCTGGTGGGGTGTGGGAGTGCAGGGCGCCCTGGCTGGGCCTTCTGGGGAGGCGGCTGTGGTCCTCTTCTCTGCCTCACTGGGGGCCAAATTCTTCTCTTCTGTGGTCAAGCCCAGCCTGCAAGGGGAGGGGGGTAGAGTTTATTGGTTTGGAGTTGGGGAGTTGGAACCCTGACAAGTTGAGGACTTCAACCCCCACAATTTCCCACCAACGGTCTTGCACACCCATCTTCTGTATATATTTACAACTGGCACACTGTCAGGGCCCGTGAGCTACTCGCTCCTAAGGGAGGCAGTCCACTTGACCTCTTTAGCCCAGGGTGTCCAACTACGGGAGCTTTAAGACTTGCAGACTTCAGCTCTCAGAATTGAAGCGATGCTGGCTAGGGAATTCTGGGAGTTGAAATCCACCCATCTTAAAAGTGGCCAGGTTTGAGAAAGAGTGCATTCAACTGAATGTATGTTTTACCGACAAAGACATAAAGGGTAGACTATTATAGATCTATTCCAAGGTATTTAGCTCTCGTCAGCTAGCCATGCCATTTTTCTGGGATTCAAAATCTGGGCTACTTGGGGATGGAGCCATATGCCCCCTCCCATAATTGGGTAGATCAGGATGCCCCGATTTAAAAAAAAAAAAGTGCATTAAATCATTCAAGACAAAAGAATAAAGGACACACTTTTTGGTGTTCTCGCATCGAGTCTGTTTTTGAAAATCACACCACTGCATTGCTGCTGCCCTCAAATTATGTCTGAGGATTGTCTGCCAGAAAAACCTTGACTGCCCTTTGCTTTAGCCAAGGGTGTCCAACCGTGGTAGCTTTTAAGACTTGTGGAACTTCAGCTCCCAGAATTCACCAGACAGTGATGCTGGGAGTTGAAGTCCACAAGTCTTAAAGGGGCCACGTTTGGAGACCCCTGGGCTAAACAGAAGAAGTCTGGCCAGGGACCCTCATTATGTTGTGGCCCTCCAGCAGCCAGTGGAGCTAGTGAGGAGGTTGGGGAGGAACATGGGCCAGTCCTGGAGTCTGGGGAAGGCTCCGATGAGTTGTCGGAGGCAGAGATGGGGCCAGGGCCGCCTGACAGTTATCAGCTGCCTTCGGAGTCGGAGATCAGTGGGGCAGAAGAACAGCTGGAGCCTGTTCCCAGTGTACGCATGCACAGAGCTGCCAGGAGAAGGGAACAGCTAAGGAACAAGGGCCGACTGGGGAGTAAAGCCACAGGTGAATAAATGGTGAATGGCCCCTCCCGGGGGGAATAAAAGAGGAGCGAAAGGGGAGTGGGGTTTGCAGGAGACAATTAGTTGATTTAATTAGGGTGAAGATTTGTTCCTGACTCCTAGCCAAGTATTTTCTGCTACAGCCTTGTGTTTGGAAGCTATCAGCCTGGCAACTCTCCAAGGTCTGTAGTTGTAAATCACTCTTGAAGGCTTGTTTACCGTGACTTTGATGGATGCGAATGAGGGGAATTCACATTAGCCTAAATAAAAGGGGTTTTGTCGAGACGAGGAGTCGGCTTTGTGATTTTGGGAAGCCCAGGTCAGAACACGCTAAGCTTTCCTGGGAGAAAAGTCGCAGAGGCTCAGTGGGCCTTCCTTTCTAGGAGTTCTCACTCAGCACCTCCCCTCCTCATGACAGGCAGGGAAGGTGTCAAGGACCTCTTTGTGGGCCTAGGGAAAGAAGAACCTGTGGGGCTTTATCCAGGCAACAGCTATGGGGAAACAGAACCTGCTGCCACAAAGACCTGTGTTGCATTCATTCCATTGATATACTGGCTCAGCCATGTTTCCAACACTTTCCACTTACTTCTGCCCATAATAGTCCTCGAAAAACTGCTCTTTCCAGATTTCTGTTTTCTTTTCCTTCTCCATTTCCTGCCTGATGCGGACCTGCATCTCGTGAGTAAACTCCCCTGGAAGGGAAAAAAAAAAAAGAATCAGAGTTTATTTGGCTTCGTAAAAACACTAGAAAAGAAACACACAGAAACGAGCAACTAGGATGATTTAAGGCCTGGAGGATAAGACAGATGAAGAACGGTGGCAAGAATTGGGGTGGCAAGAATTGGGTACGGCCTGCCTGGAGGAAAGAAGGATTAGGGATGAAGTCATAGCAGTGTTCCAGTATTTGAGGGGCTGCCACAAAGAAGAAGAGGAAGGGGCCACTTTAAAAGGACTTGAAGGCAGGACAAGGAGCAACGGGTGGAAACTGATCAAGGAGAGAAGCAACCAGGAATTCAGGAGAAACTTCCTAGCAGGGAGGACAATTAAACAGTGGAACAGTTGCGGGTGCTACAACACTGGAGGTTTTTAAGAAGAGACTGGACAGCCATTTGTCTGAAATGGCATAGGGTCTCCTGCTTGAGCAGGGGGTTGGACTAGAAGACCTCCAAGGTCCCTTCCAGCTCTATTGACTGACTGATTGATTGAAAAATGACAGCAGAAAGAGACCCAGGGGTGCATCCTGTCTGCCCTTTGAGCTTCTGTTTTCTTTTCTTTCTTTTTTTAATGTGTTTCTTTCTTTGTCTCCCAGATGTCAGACATATCCCAACCATGTTTAAACTCAGTTAGAGATTCACTTATTCTGCTGGAAGTTGGTCCCAAGCTTCCACTACTTTTTCTGGGAAGTCACTTTCAAACATTAGAGGTAGTCCCTTGACTTACAACAGCTCACTTAGTGATCGTTCAAAGTTACAACGGCACTGGATAAAAGTGACTAAAGACAATTTTCCAAACTTACGACCATTGCAGCATCCTCAAATTCGGACGCTTGGCAACTGACTCAGTTGTGGTATCCCGGCTATGCTGGCTCAGCAATTCTGGGAGCTGAAGTCTGCCATAAAGGGGTCGTAGTTTCCCACCCCTGTTCTAGGCCAACGCTTGCTTCAAGGATGGGCTTGCCCCCCTCCCCTTCCTCCTCATCCCAGAACCAGTACTTACCGTCTGCCAGCCTCTCCCGCCAGCTCTGGGCGGCATGAGCAAAAAACTCGTTATTGAGGGCACTTCCACTCAGGCGCAGCAGTCCGTCTGTCCCAGGCTAGAAGGGAGAAAGAGAACGTGCCTTTACCGACTCCATTCCGAAAGTGGGGAGACAGAGAGAGAGAAACACAGAGAGCAAAAGAGAGAGGGAGAGAGAAACAAGAGAAACATAGAGACACACAGAGAAAGAAACAGACAGAGAGAAACAGAGAGAGAAATAGGGAGAGCAAAAGGCAGAGAGACAGAGAGACAAGAGGTACACAGAGAGAGACAGAAAGAGAAACAGAGAGAGGAAGAGAGAGAAACAGGGAGCAAAAGGAAGAGGAGAGAGAGAAACAGAGAGACAGAGAGAGAGCGAAACGGAGAGGAGAGAGAGACAAGAGAAACAGAGAGAGAGGCACAGAGAGAGGAAGAGAGATAAGAGAAACACAGACACAGAGAGAAACAGAGAGAGAAATAGGGACAGCAAAAGGCAGAGAGAGACAGAGAGACAAGAGGTACACAGAGAGAGAAACAGAGAGGAAGAGAGAGAAACAGGGAGCAAAAGGAAGAGGAGAGAGAGAGAAACAGAGAGACAGAGAAAGCGCAAAAGGGAGAGGAGAGAGAGACAAGAGAAAGAGAGAGAGAGAGGCACAGAGAGAGGAAGAGAGATAAGAGAAACACAGACACAGAGAAACAGAGAAATAGGGACAGCAAAAGGTAGAGAGAGAGACAAGAGGCACAGAGAGAGAAACAGAGGGAGCAAAAGGAAGAGGACAGAGAGAGAGGGGGGGAGGGGCAGAGGGGGACAGTGTGAGGGAGAGATAGAGACCCTACCTGCCTGTCCACTTCAGGGAGGAGGAGGAGAAGCTGCTGCTGGAAGTGCAGGGGGAGAGCGTTGAAGGTCCTGGAATTGATCAGCGCCCGCAGGTTTGTATTCACCAGAATGGAGCCCGGCGTCTCAAAGTCTATGTCGTCCCCCCTGTTCCTCTTCATTTGTCCTGCAGTTCCCAGAAAACAACAGACAACCAGAAATGTTTACACAGCCGAGATTCAAGAGCGGCAGACAACTATTCATCTCCTGGCCAGACGGCGGTGAGAGGGGAACTTTTGGCCGGCGCTCCCGGCACTCCTAATAAAGGAATCTTTTGAGTTCGCGTCAAGAGGGCTTGTCGTGTTTGAGGAGCTGGGTCAGAACAGGCCTCTTAAAGTCAGCCAGGTCCAAAACTGCTAAAGTTCCTCCTGTGGAGAGGAGACCCCGG